CAAAGAAAGGTAACTTGATGGAATGCTCCAACTGGAGAATCATAACTTTACTAAATGTAGCTTATAAAGTTATTGCTCTAATCCTACATAAACGTTTAACTTCGGCCGTTGAGCCTACACTACGAGCCGAGCAAGCAGGATTTAGGCCTAATCGATCATGTGCCGACCACATAAATAGCCTTCGAATAATAGTCGAACAGTCTAGCAAATGGCGATTTCCTCTATACTTGCTGTTTATCGACTTTAAACGTGAATTCGATACACTTTTCCAGACCACCATCTGCATTAGAACGTATGCATTAGAACGTAAAGGTATACCGAGTAAATTAATAAATTTAGTAAAAGGCTTATACTCTGACGCGCACTACTCAAGGTTGCATTCTTTCACCTATACTATTTAATATAGTCTTAGATGTGGTTATGTCGGAAGCTATGAGCACAAATCACGGCATCTCTTTCGGCCTTCAAATCAATCTTACTGACCTCGATTATGCTGATGACATCTGTTTACTAACACATAACTTTTCCCAGATGCAAATATCGTTAAACAACATCGCAAAGCGTGCACTGGCAGCTGGTCTGTCAATCAATATCAACAAAACCAAGTCTATGCATCTCAGTTCAAACTGCTCAACGAAGTTTCAACTAGATGGCTCCTACATCGAAGATGTACAAAGTTTCTGCGATCTGGGAAGCTACATTTCGAACAACGGCGGCAGTCGGCAAGACATTCAGCACAGGCTATCGAAAGCGAAGCAAGCGTTTGGAACCCTTAACAAAATCTGGCGTTTATCCAACATCACACAACGCACTAAGGTACACCTGTACAATGCAAACGTAAAATCAACTTTACTATATGGTGATGAGAGTTGGAACCTAACGGCAAGAGATGCACAACAGTTACAAGCCTTTGCCAATCGTTGTCTACGACGCATCCTTCATGTATTCTGGCCAGCAACCATAACCAATAATGAGCTCTGGTTTAGAACGAATCAGAATTAGATAGAGTTCAATGGAAACTATTTGTTACGGTCCTCTGCTCCACCTAGGAATAAAAGGATTAAATATAATATAAATTTGTTTGGCTATTCTACGGTATATAAAGCATGAAAAAAAAGTAGGGCTGTGCAAAGCTCAGGAAAAAATACTTGCTTTAAAAGTTTTAACAAAAATTTTTCATATGACGACCTATTTCTTTTCTTTTCTAAACTCAAATTCTTATTTAAAGATAACATATTCACTAAAATTTAAAAAGAAATATCCACATCTCCATCAACTTCTTCTTATTTGGAACTTCTTCACATTGTCAATAGCATGTCAATCCTTAAAACCGACAATAACGGATGTCGGTTTTCTAATATAAATCAATGAGCAGATTAATAAAGTAAACAAAGTAACGTGCGATGATACATTTTTTCCGCTATTAAAGAAATGTATTAACATACTAACTTTTAACTAGATTGAATGATGCAATTGGCATTATGAAAAGAGCATTCTTGGCATTTAATTTTCAGGTCAACGACTGACGCATCAATGTAAGGGGTGCGCGAACGGATCGAATAAGGCAGTGTTGAACGTGCCTGTATTTTTATATATTGTAATTAGACATTATTATGAAAAAAGACAAATATTTCATAGTTCTCGTTTATATTTGAATTAGTGCATTTGGGTTTCACATATATGTAAAGTTAAATCACATATATGAAATAATTAACTTATGAGTTTTGACTTTTAGTTATCTTCTATTTTATTTTTTATTTTCAACTTTCTTTGCGTTTACTTTTCCATATATTCTCTGTCAAATTTTTAACTATATCTCTTCAATTTCTCTTGCGATTTAGATTGCAGGAAGACAAAAAATATAACCATAAATTAGCATAGGAACCCAATATCAATTTTCGCATACATTCAAATTGATATATACGCAAATTTTGTTATCATTATTTATTTTAATTTTGTGAAATTTTCATTTTCTATAACTACAAAAACGGAAGAACCCATAAAATTATAATTCATTGCCATTTACCTACCGCATATCGACAGCAAATGTGTATTTAAATGGTCATAAATTTCTGGAAAAAAACGAACTTACAATTTTTTATATTTTCTGTATGGAAGAAATTCAGCTATGCTACTAAGCCATTATCCTTAATGTAAAATTTTATTACTAACAACTTTCGCAGAAATAAAATTACAAAAAAAATTTAACAAAATTAAATTAAGCGAAACTGACTTCAAAACACACTACGCGGTGTTTGGTCGTGACAATAATGAGATGTATATTTAATAAGAGAATATTTTGATATTATATTTCACAAATAGTTATATATATCATATATATAAATATGAACTATATTAGCAGAGTGACAAGTGCACAACGCCATGAATGAAGCCAGGTCTAGCGTGAGGCGTGAAGCTTAAGCAGCACATGTGAACAACGCTATGAATGAAGCCAGGTCTAGCGTGAAGCTTAAGCAGTTGTTACTGGTACTAGAATTAGTTTAAATACACATAGTTTCAGCAAAAAATTACTTGTAATTTATGAGACTTAACTTCATATGTTAGGTGGGGATAGATGACTGACCAAGACAACTTATGTATCTAATAAATCTATTGCTATGCTTTATTGGAGTCCACAAAAGGCTGGTAATGACATGACATGACTAAACACGTCGGTGTCATTAGAGAATTTTAAGAGATGGTTGGACAAAGAATACTTTTTTAAAACTTTTAGTCTAGTTTTTCAAATAACCCGTCAACAACACAACGGTTCTAAATCAGTACAATTAGAATTAGAATTTTAAAGGTATACTTTTTTAAAACTCAGGTTGAAAAAAAAAATTATATCAAACTTTTCAAAGAACTTAACAAAAGAGATATTATATTCCAATATAATTAGAACACTTTATTATAAAATCGCTGATGTGATAAAAAATTTCTCTGGTGGAAATTTATTCCATTATCCTTTGAAAATTTGTAATACAGAAAATTTTAATTTAAATTAATTTTAATAAACTAAGCAAAATAATATAATATTTTAGTAGAAATTGTTTTAACATAAATAAACATATTTTTTTGGAGTGTAGGGTATGTGGCATGGATGAATAAAAAAAATTAAATTATAACTTTCGCATAGTGCTATACTACTTTTACACTGAAATATTTGCATAATCACACCGTATATTTTTAATATATTCATGGGTTATATGGGGCCAATATCTAGCCATATTCATTAATGGATAATGGCTTTTTGAGTGCAGGGTTCGTAGCTATTAAAAAATCCTTTTTCTCATTTTTTGTAATTTAATTTATGCGATTGAGACTTTTAAGGGTTACGACCATTAAAATACATTAAAAATATATTTGATGGCTCTTGAGTTAATTTCAGTATTTGTTTCGAGCTCTTCGGTATGCATACTACTAAGGTATGCGGAACATATGCAAATGCAAATAAGTAAGATGTAAGCACATAAAACATATTGCAGTACTTATTAATCTCAATTTAGTTTGAAAAAGTAAACATAAGTTTATTGCAATTCTTGTGAATAAAATTAATATATTAAGTAAAACATTATCGTATTAAAATCAATATCATGTAGCGTATGTTTATATTTGTATATTTACTAACACTTACTAATATTCTTAATATATAATATTTGTAAATTTTAATTAAGAAATGTTTTGAAAAAGATATATATCCAAATAAATTGTACTTCTTTGAATAATAATTTTGAATATATTGACCAAAAATAAATAAATAATAATTTTGAATGTACTAGTAACATAGCTGTATTTGACTATTAAGTGTATGTACTTGCATTGCATAGAGTAAATGATATCATACCCAAATTACTATTAATTTAACCCTACATTAAGAGTTTTGATATCTGGAAACTAGTTTTGAGATCTGGAAACTAGGTTCTTCATACAAAAACACAATGTTCTGTTAATATTTTTATGACTATCATTCCAGTATTATAAGGATTCTATAAGACAAAAGTCATTTCAACTACTTTTAATAAGTAATATATAATATTTTAGGCAATATAAAATGACAATTTATTCCATCATTGAGTGTAGTGGAACAAATATATACTGCCTTTAGATGACACAATTTCAAACAAGTGTTCCTTTCATGTTTTTTTCTCATTTTCATTTTTGACCTTTAATGATTTTCATTTTTTTTTGTTTGTATTAAGTTTATGCTCTTAAAATAACATCTTAATTGCATCTGGGACCTGTTCCGTGCCTACTATCAAAAGTAGTCATAGCCTTCACATATCGATTGTAAATAAGATCCCACTTATTTCTGTAATGCACAAAGTCCAATTTTCACATAAATTTTTATAATTATTGAAAAAGTTTAGAATATTTTTAAACGGGATAGTACCAATAATTGTTCAAAATGGGTATGTGCTGACTAATGTCAATCGATATAATATGTTATTACGCATATCTGTCTATGATAGAGTTTGTTTTCGTCTATTCGATAGAAACCAACGACTATTTTTGCGGTAATTTCTTAACACCTTAATTATTTCTTAGTTTTAATAACTTAAGTTATTAATTTAATTATATTTAATAATAATATATTTAATTTAATAAATTATATTTAATAATAATTTACTAAAAAGTTTGCTTAACGAAAAATATGCAATTTGCTGATTAAAAAAAAGTATCTAAACTTAATGCCTTTCTATTGTTGTGAAAACAGGTAGCAAATACAATTTTAATTTATTATAGTTACTGCATTTAAAAATAAATATTGCAGATAAATTTTTAAATCCCAACTAAACTTCACTTTTTCTGCAATTTTTTAGAAGTGCAATTTTGAAATTTTCATCTATCTAACATTAAACGTTCTCTTCCACTTCTGCGTTCTTACAACCTGACAAGCTTAGTGCCAATTATCGCAATAAATCTTTCTTTCCAATACATTAACTTCAAATTCATGAAAGTGCTTTTTTTAATATCTGCTTTCGTTTCGTTACTTTTTTCAGGTATCCTGGATACGTAAACGTGACTTACACATACTTACCGTTGGCATATTAACATACACAAATGACCAAAGATTTCAATCGCTACATACCGAAGGATCAGATGAATGGACATTGAGAATATCATCACCTCAGCCAAGAGATTCGGGTACATATGAATGTCAAGTATCAACTGAACCAAAAATAAGTCAAGGATTTCGACTCAATGTAGTGGGTAAGTGTGCATGGTCAAATGAATATCATAATGGCATAAAAGAAATGCACGAGATATTAGAAAAGAAAAATTGTTGCACAAAAGATAAAAAAAAAGGATTCGAAGAGGAAAACTGGGAATTTATAGAAAAAGAGTTTGGTGTAAAATTTTTTTTTTGAAATAACAATGGAATCCGCACAGCATACAAAAAAAAATGGTACGGAAACTGCCTTTGTGACTTTGTATGCAAATCTTTCCGGTTGCTTATCAAAGCAACATTAGGGAAGGCAAAAAAAAAATAAAATAAAAATGAAATTATGACTAAAAAGGTACATGACTTTCTGGATACTCAAATGTAATACCAATGTATGCCTATGCCTATAAGCTTGTTACACATGTGCTAAATGCAAAATGTGCCTCCACGGCAATTGTGTTGCTGCCTTTCCTTTCTTGAAATGCTATTTACATATAATACGTACACTCACATTTTTATATATATATATATACTATATATATGGTTTTTTTTGTTATAACTATTTTTATATGTAAGATAAAAATCACTAACAAAGACGAGTTCAGGCTTTTATGTGTCATTGTGTTTTTACACTTTTACTGACCATTTTTATAAGTCAAGTGAGAGTGGATATGGTGGCAGGATTTTATGTATTTCATATTGTATAAGCCACAATGAAATGACATACAATGGCTTCCACCAACACACATAAGTAAAACTGTTATATTCGCTTCTTCTTAAATATACATTTTCCATTATACATTCCCGGTACTGTACCAAGTACGAGTATTAAATTTGGAGAACGGAGGATGAAAAAAATTTGGTTATAAACGTTTCCAAAATTTGGCCAAATGCTTGAAATGAAGTAAAGTGAAATTTGCTTTAAGTATTTTAAGTACTTGGCACAGCTTGTTTAGTTTTCATGAGCCATAAAATTTTAAAACCGAAGTAACCGCCAAAATTCCAGAAATTCTTATTCCTTTTCTTAACTTTGCTTGGTTTATTTGCAGTTTCACGTGCTAAAATTCTGGGCAATGCAGAGCTTTTCATCAAGAGCGGCAGCGACATAAATCTTACATGTCTGGCTATGCAATCTCCTATACCGCCGTCTTTTATTTATTGGTACAAGGGGAAACGTGTAATGAATTACTCACAACGCGGCGGCATCAACGTCATAATGGAACGTTCGACGCGCACAAGTAAATTATTGATAGCGAAAGCAACTCCTGCCGATTCGGGGAATTATACGTGCTCGCCAAGCAGTTCAGGTAAGTGGGTTAACTGATATGGCAAGGCAAGCGACTTGTGGTATAAAAAATTTCATCCAGGAAACTGTGTCACGTTACTACAGCGAACTGACAATGAAATATTTTGTTGACTTATAATGTTACCAAAATTTTCAATTTATCAATTTAGAGGAAACCATAAATTTTAAAGAAGTTAGCGTATAAATTATTGCTCCTAATGTTGAATTTCCCCAAGTGTAAACAAATTTAGGATGAATTGTCTCATTCAACTAAGAAGAGTGAGATGAAAGCAAAATATTTCATTCGAAGTTCACATTTAAAGCAATAAACAGGAAACTAAATATAATTTCTTATAAAAACTTTTCATTGAAACTTTTAAGAAATATTGACTTTCGATTTTGAGATAATATCTAACATAAAAAACTGATAAATAAAAACTTTGGTTTTTATCTCAGCTTTACTAATACTACTCGTAACATGGAAGTTCATATATAATCATGGATAAATTGGAAATTCTATAATTTACGTAGTTCTAAAATATGTAGTTGTTTGCAAAAAATGAATTTATTGAAGTTTTGATATTAATATATTAGATCCCTTACAGTCGCCGAACAACTTAATTTATGAATATGTTGTGGAATATACAAGGCGATTATTCGTTTAAAACAATTAAGACATTAAAACAAACAAATTTTTTTGCTTAGAGAAATTAAAGACATTTTATAAATGCTAACTCTTATATATTGATAATTAAATGTAAGTTGTTAAGGCTATCTGTAAAATATTCAACCGAATATATTTAAAACCCAAGAAGATCAAGATCAAGATCAAGCTGCCTCTGCCGCTATTCGCTCTCCCTTATTGTTATTCAAGACATCCGAAAGAAAAGACGTTTTAAATTTAATAAACAAAGATATGAAAGACGAATGGGCTATGGAATTGTCAGTGTACAACCATCGCTACAAGTCGATTAATACCAGTGGTTTAAAAGCTATATACCCACAATCATGCACTCGTCAACAATGTAAGATTTTTATCCGATTGCGTATAGGACATTCAAAGCTTTTTCATAAACATCTTTTGAGTAGCGATCAGCCATCAAACTGTCTATTTTGTAATAGCACACCATCCATAGATCATATACTTAACAATTGCCCTTCTTTTAATTCTATTCGTAGTAATATCTTTTCCAATATCTCACCAACCAGCGTTTTAAAAACAATTAATGTTAAAAATATACTTTTGATGTATAAATATATTAAAGCCTGTAATCTAGTAAATAAAATTTAATTTATAATATCCGAGCTGAAGGCCCTGGCAGCTAGCGCTCGTTTTTCTGATCTTAGTTATAAGATTTTATATGTTGTAATTAATCATAATAAATAAATAAATAAAAAATAAATAAAACCCAAGAAAAATTTAAGTCTTTATCGCTTACAGATCCTAAGATATGATTATTTAAAAATGTATCTAAAATACAAGTTCTCGAAACATCAGAAGAGCGCATCTCTTAGCAACAAAAAATTATTTAAAAATTACCAACTCAACAATTAAAAGCAAAAAAAATTTATATTTTCCGAGATATGAGTCTTCTTACACTATTATATTAGAGAAGCTTAAAATAGAAGAGATTTTAACCAAATTATAGGTGATGAAAACAAAATTTATCGCGTTTGCCCTAATGAAACTGGAGCGCCACTTTTTAATCATTTTATAAGATACTGTCCTGAAGTTATTCTTATTAGGTTAGATTGGAATGGTGGCCTTGTGTACCATGATTTTGTCAAGGACGTTATTTTTATTGGCATTTATATAAATTAAGTAAAACATGTGCGCAGATATAATCTAAGCTTAAGTCTTCAAATATTAGCAGACTATAAAAAATTTCAATAAAATGAAATATCTAATCATATTTTTGATATTAGTATAGTATACTTATCTGTGACATATTAGACAGTCCCGCATGATTTTTGTATATAGTGGCTAATATCTTTTGCAGGCAGTAATTTGAAAATAATAAAAATGTCATGATAGACATAAGTTATTGAAGTTGAGCTGAGTGCCAGATATGATAAGAACCATTAAACTGAATATCAACATAAACTCTAGACTTCGGAATCAGGGAATGGTTTTTGTAAGAGATAGGTAGGGTTGAAAATCTTGTTCATAAACTGATGTGTAAATATATATTCTTAAAGGAATTGGATGTCAAATATTATTTTAATTTTTTACAAGTCGTCTTGAAGAGGTTTAGTTGCAGTTGGGTTTCCAATATTAATGACTTTGGCTAAGCGGTGGTTTTTGATTCATACTTTACTCCCTTTTTTGCTCAACCTTAGGGTATCTTGACTTTGCTTTCTTTTTCAGTTTTTTCATTGCACATTGTACAGTCCTACCGAATCTATTATATTCATGGATTTTGTTTTATTGTTTTTATGTCAGTCGCTGCTTCCATATATTGGTCCTTCGCATGTTTCAAATTTAACGGATAAATCATCAAATGAAACTTCAAAGCATAAACATATAGCTGAAGATTAATTGATTCAAATGTACAGTGATATTTGTAAACATTTTCGAACTGATAGGTTAACTGTTTATGTAATGCAAAGTACTATAATTATTTTAATTAATATTTTTATTACAATTCACATAAACGAACAATTTATAATTATTATATTTCTTTAAAAAACCATTGTGCATTTAACATTTGCATTTTTTTTATCGATCATTTTCTTCATCCACTTGTTCTTCTTGTTTTTCAGCTGTAATCCTGCCAAACAGGGTTGCTTTCTCCTTAGTATTGTTTTTCTTCTTTAACATTCCGTCCTCCTATGAATCTTCGCAAGATTCACTTATCTGACAAGCGGTTAACTTGGTCGTTGGATGGTTAGGAAACCATGATTCATCTTGGAGGGAAACACTTCAACAATTTAATCATTGATCTCTTGGAATCCAAATTGTCGCAGACGATCACAAACTTCAGGGTTGTATTTTTCTGTAACATATAGGTTAAATATTTTCAAAGACATTCTGGTAATATATCAAAAGGACTGAATGCGTCCAAAGTCTTGTCAGTATTGGATTAAAAAAATTAGTCTTTAGCTAATTTATCATTTTATCTTAAGTTTGCTTTTGATTGTGTGTATTCCGTTTATATGATTTTCTAATGCTGTAAATGCTGTTCGCAAATAATCTTGAAATCAATTTTTCAAAAACTATCACAGAAGCTGGGTTACATATAAAGAGTATCGATCTATGTATAATTTTTGATGATGAATAACTATTTTTAAAACTTTGTTTCTTATTAATTTTTATTAGACTTACTATTAATTATTTTAATTATAATTTTTAATAATATTTAAAGAATAATAGGACAAGTTTTGTTTTGTTCTGAAGCAGCTCATGAATGTCACAATATATGAAACATTCTTACTACATTTTGCAGACATTTTAATATATATTTCAATCTAGAAAATCCGACCCTGTTCCATTAAATAAAATGATTTCACGTACTTTGCTTACCTTTTTCAATGTTTAATGTTGCAGAAAAAAGGATTTCAATTTTATTCATGTTTATTCCTGCAGGCTAAAACGCAAAGTTTATAACACAACATATCAGCAAGTTTCACACAATACTGAAATTTTGTTTTTGGTATTATTTTGGGAAAGTAGTGAAGTTTGTTATGGAAAATATTACAGTTGATGGAATAAACAATCAAAAAATTTAAATGGAAGGAAAACAACAGCTGCGGCTATTTCACTATGTTGGACGGGTATTAGTTTTTTGTTTTAATGTTTGCTCTATATTGGAATGCTAGTATTTCGGATTTAAAGTTCAATTTTTTACTAGTACAATGCGTATTTTAAAAATCTCAAAGTCTAACAAAATTTTAAATATTTTAGGAGTGAAAAATTTTTTAATATAACCCCGATGCATAACCCAATTCTATGGAGTTCCTACTCGATATAGTTTAATACTTTATTTAAGTAGTATAGAGCAAAATCTTAAGTGAAAATTATTTGCAGGCATGATATTACGTTTTTTAAAAATTAAGAAAGTAAGTTAAGGTAATATAATCTCAACAAAAATAAAAAAGAAGAAAAATATGACAACGCATTGTTGTTTTCATAAAGCACTGTATTCCTGTAGACCAGAATCATTATCAGTGAAAGCCCATTGCTATCTTTGGAAAAGGATTAGGTGTTTCGCGGAGCTTTATATAGTGATGCTTCTGTTTTGATCTCAGTATTTTAATAAAATGAACAACATTAGTGATTTCTGATGGACACGAAAGGAAGGGTAGCCCTAGAGCAGATGTATGTATTCTATTAGTTGGCCGCTATAATTTGTTGCAAAAGTATATTGGTAACATTTTCTGTTTTTGTGTCTCAGCCATAATAATTCCAGTAGTTGATGAAAAAGCGACTAACTTCGTTGGTGTTGAATACTAAAAACCAGCGTCAAAAATGATGTACTACAAAATTTTTCCAAAAAGTTATTTCAATAATAGTTAAAAGATGAAAGAAAGATTTCCTTTGCAAGGGGGAAGAAATATATTAAGAAATACTTCAGGATCAGGTTTCTTAAAATTCACTATATTAAATAGAATAACAAGGAGGAAACAAGGAAATATCTTATTTTACCAATTTTACTATCAATCATTATTCAATAGCAGTTTTTAAAAGTTTTTAAATTTTCCAATTACTTATTACTATGGTATAATATCCAGCTGAGATTAGTTTTAAAATATAAACACAGAAATATATAAGAATTATTTAATTGTAATTATCTTTAAGCTAAATGGTCAAGGGGTTATCTATCACCTTGATTCCACTGACAATAAGGAAATATTAATAATACTACTAGCTAATACTAGATACTACTATCTAATCTTAATCTTATTTAAAGGCCTATAAAAAAAACTTTATTATGCCCTTCACATACATTTCTAAAAAGTCTTTTGTATGAAGTTTTTTGCAGCTTCCCACATTAACAATGAGTAACTAAGAGGAAAAAGGAA